ACTTCTTGAACTCTGTGCCATCAACAGCAAGAATTGCATCAGATTCTCTCTGGCCAAGTGTGATGTGTTTTCCAAAGTACAGAAGACAGGATGGCAGTGGAAAGAACTCAGAGAGAGGTGACAAACAGAGCAGCCTTTATTGGGGGCTTCTCATAATCTTTCTTCATCCAGCCCCTCAGTGTCCCTGTACTCCTCTCCTTGCCCTCTGTTCCCAGTCATTCGACTCTCACACACAGCACACCTGCGTCCACTTTTCCAATCAACTGCTCAGTATATATACAACTTCTTCTCCCTTGTATATTTGCTAGATTATCTAACATGCTCACTGTAGCCTGTGTGCTCCCAGTAGCTTAAGCATCCCGGCTGTCTTTTCTCCTCAGTGTTTATGTCTTTGTCTTTGTACTTTTCTCTGTTTTTAGATTCAGCCTGTCTTGGCTTTGGCCTCTTGCCTGCTACTCTGGATTTGTGGCTTAGCTTGGACTATTTGCTCAGTTTTGGACTGTGCTTACATCTCTGACCTGCATCTGGGCTTTGATTCTGCCTCTGGTTGTTGTTGCTTTGTAGCTTGGACTCACTCCTATACTGAACTGCTCTATCTGCCAGCCTGTCTGTCTAGTGTGTCTGCATTTGAATCCAATTCTCTCGAATTTGACATTTCTTGCTAGAAATGTAATAACATGATATAACCAACAACATGGATGCAGCAGACATTTATGGAATTTTTAGAAATTGAATCCCTCTTGAATTGAGTGTAGTCCATTGACTATGTTTGAAACCACATTTCTTACCAGGTTCATAAATGTTCTTGAGGTAGCAGCCAAGGTGACTAATGTTGCTGCTTTCTGGGACAGTTTGCAGGCTGCCCTGTTTGTCCCCATTTCCTGGTCACTCCCATGTACAGCTAACTGTGCCTGTTGGTAGTCCTCCTGTCTTGCAGTTGATGAGGATCAAGCCCACTAGCATCCTCCTGGCTCTCAGTTGGCTAGTATTTTGCTCTCTAGCAGTATGCCAAACTCCCACTCATCAGCCATCCCTGGTTCCAGAGGGTCCACAGGGTTCCGCAGATGCCCAGCCTAGCAGAGTTGGCATCTGATGCTGACACAACCTGTCCCAGAGGTTTGTTCTCCAGAGGGACTCTGCCTTTGCTGCCCTCTTGACTGTCATGGATGACATCACTACCCAAGGCCTCCTGTTCCTCTGATCTTCAGCCCCACTGCCGCCTGTCTGGGATCACCCAATTTGCATCATATAAATCTTTTACCTGTAACAGACAAACAGAGCAAGGTAGCAAAATGAAAAACCTCTGTTTAATACTTGAAATGAGAAGTTCCATAGTCAAACACCTAGGTTGAAGTCTCAGTCCCTAATTAGCAAAAAAAGACCCACAGATTTCTGAACACTGGAAACATTTCATGTCTCTTTGGGTTTAAGGGACAAACAAGCATTTTGAATATTTGAATGCAAGATAAATGTCAGCACATTTGAATATGAAATGGAGAGTGTTTGGATGAGTTTAGATGTCAAACACCCATTGAGTCCTCTGGAGTGTCTGATGAAAAGATACAAAGAATAGTAAAGTGGCCCTAATTAGAGGGCTTTGGGCATGTCTTTAACAATGAATCACATCATGACATCAACAACACTATTCACTACTTTTCTAAATGGGCAGCTGGCAGACAGAGGGCTTGTGGGGTTGCTAAATACTTCACCAAAATATGAATGGAAGGCCTGATTACTTTGTCACTAATGATTCATTGGCTTGCACATACTCTTGGGCAGTGTAAATAGCTCTGGGGACAACCCCTTTCTTTCATTTATGTTCACTGTTACATCTATCACAGCATCTTCACAATGATATCGTTGTCACTGTTATCACTACAAAACATTTTCAGCCAAAAGAGCATGTCAACCTTCAAACAAGTGCAAAGATTCTTGTATTTCAGAAATACGTTTTGACATCTTGTACAAAAACTAAACAAAACAAAATGTTATCCCACTTTCATGGCAGACTCATGGAAGATTCCCAAGCCAAGTTGACCAATAGTTATCCCCATATAATTAATCTAACACCGTTGGCAAAGTTAGCAAAATATCTCCTCATGCCACAAGATGTGAATTTGCACATTTATCAGCAAGAAAAAAAACCCACTGCAGCAAAATACCTCACACTACAAGATCTTTAATATTAAGGCCTTCATTTTTTTATAGCAACTGATCTCTCTCTTTTCTGATTGCCTCTCTGGTGCACTGAGCAAATTTGTGAGAAACTCTTTCAACCTGAGGAATGTCATTTCAAGACTGGAATGAAATGTGATTACTGTGAAATTGGTGAAGCCTTCAGTGATTAAGTGATAAGTGAACGAAGACAGCACCGGGATGCAACAAAACATCTTAGGGAAAAAAGTCTGTTTTAATTGTGAAACAGATGTTGCTGTGAACACCAGGCATCCTCACTGATCATAGATTCAGGTGTAGATACACAAACACACTTACAGTAAGCATCATCCCTTGCATATGAATTAAATCAGAAAGAAGAGAATGAGCTTCTAGACATGTGTATATGCATATTCCCTGCTTTGGGGTGATAAAAACCAAATACATGGAAGAACATTTATGATGCTTTTACCTTCAGAAAAATATAATGCAGGATACACGAAAACTGTTTGCCCCCAACGGTGAGCAGGGATTTTATTGCTGGTTGTTGTCTCCTGGCCTTCATTACACAGTTATATAGGTAGCACTGAAAGAAACTCATCTCATATTTGTAACAGGGATAGACACTAATATTTTTAAGCACAGGCCTCACAGGCCACCAAACCCCTAAATTTGGTGGCCAACGTACATTTTTCTTGGCCCAAATGTAATTGTATGTATAAACAATGCAGAAAAAAGCATTTAACGTAACTTAACACCCCCCTCCTTAACTGACTCTTCCATAAATGAAATTCTATTAGTAGAATAAAAATATGTGACTATTTGTCTAAACTGAAACCTCTTTTGTAAAAATACATATTTTCTGTGTCTTTGTTGCAGTCTCTTTTTTGCAGCCCTCCCATGCTTCTGATCTCATAGCCACTATCTTTTGCTCCCTCCCTCCCAGCATTGTGTCTGAGTCAGTCATGGCTTCAATCAAGATGTTACAAAAAACACGAAAACCGAAGTGGAATTAATATATTTCTATAATTATTTAAATTGAAAACTAGTTCTTTGAAGACATAAAATACATATCGCCAGTCTCTCATTTCATCTTTTCACACGCTCCATGCATTCCTGTGCCTGATGCACACTCTCTCCCTCCCTACCAGCATCATCAGTGCGTCAATAGTGTGTGCACCACAGTACTTTAGATGAGTTATATTCTGGACACTTACCCTCCTGCTTCCATTCACTCCTAAATCTTTGCCATTTTTTCATAGTCTGTGTTTTGTGTTTCTGGTTCTTCTGCAGCGATTGTGTTAGAAGTTTGATTAGGTGTAGTAAACCTGTACTTCAGCAGTCCCGAAATAATTGCAGCGAGCCGATCACAAGTAACTCTCTGCTATTTTTGTAGAATGTTGAACTAAGAGGTGCGAATGAAATGGGATGTTTGTGGAAAGTTGCACTGACAAAGTTCAGAGGATCTGAGACACAGAGTCTCATTCACAGTAGAAATTTGATAAAGCTTGGCAGCCACAGTGGACCGCCTGCTGTGGATATGGTGGCCACACAAGCACTTTACACACTCCCTTTTCAAGGTGGGGTTGGTGCTCCTTTATTCGGTCTTGTTTTCTGTGTGTAAAGCACAAAGGCAGAATGGCTCTGGTCCACTTCTGGTTTCCCTTGGGAAGTAGTACCAGAGGAGAAACAAACAGGAGATACCCTTTGTATAGAAAGGATGAGCTGGCAGTGCGGGACAAAGTGCTAAGTTTTGATGATGTCATATGTGTGCGATACTGTCACAGGCATCTCAAATCTGCAGGCCTCTCTGCCTCAAACTGTTCTCGGCTTCTCTCTAACTTACTGTACATGTCAAAATGTTCTTGATGTCACGAACATGTTGATTACAGTTATTACTCATTCACACACATAGCAAGAACCACGCTAACCAATTTTTTGTGAAGTGAAATAAATGCTTGAAGAGCTGCCCTTAACTTGATCTGTATGAGTAGCACAAGCGTGGCATATTGGCGACCCTTTGGAATGGATGAGTGTGGGATCTCATTGTAAAAACGACTACAGTAACTTGTGGTGGCCACGGGCCATCGGACCATGGTTAATGTGGAACCCTGTGTAATATATTTATTATTGTTTTCTATAGCATGGTGCCTATCAGCCTGAAACAGTTTGATTGCTCTGTCTGGAGGGAATAAAAGGTTAATCTTCTTGTGAGAGATTTAGTAACAGGTTGTGCTGGCAATGAAATAGCTGCTCACTGTAGAAGCCAAACATGGAAACCTGAAACACTGTGGTAGATGACTGCAGATGTTGCAAGATTGCGAGAGCTATTATAACACAACATGACTGAGCGATTTGGGCTGATATACACCATTAATTTACTTTACCCCAGTGAAAAAGGATACAGAGTCTAGTGTTTCCCCTACATTCTTTCTCTCTTGTTAAGTGGGAAAATTTGTGTAGTGATGATCAGTGTGCGTTAGACCACAGCTGTGGGAAGTTCCCCCTATCTGGCCTGGGAAACGTCACAATTTATCACCTGTGTGGGAATGAAATAGCTGCTCACTGTAGAAGCCAAACATGGAAACCTGAAACACTGTGGTAGATGACTGCAGATGTTGCAAGATTGCGAGAGCTATTATAACACAACATGACTGAGCGATTTGGGCTGATATACACCATTCATTTTACTGCAGACACATTACCTGAATGTAAAATAACAAAACATACATACACATACTGCATGCACAGTGCATGTGCACCCATTTATGTATGTGCCTGTATTAATACATACACACATCCCTGAACATACCCTAATACACACACTTGTTGTTCCTTCTCTCCAGCTGGTAGCTGTATATGAAGAGCAGGATCCTCACAATGGAGGTGATGGTACCAGCGCCAGCTCCACAGGTACGCAGAGTCCCGAACCTTTTGCTAGTGACATGAGTTCAGCATCAGCCTTTCAGCCCTACCAGGCCAGCAGTGAGATCGAGGTGACCCCGTCCTCCCTGCAATCCAGTGAGTCCACTGAGAAGTATTTTCTTCAATACTGTTTGTTAGCACTAATAATTCTATACTTTTTATTCATTGATAAAATTGCTATTGCTGCTAATAAATAACAGCATAAATCTAACAGAATATGAAAAAAACTGCTTTATAACTACTTACTACCTGTCATATCCATATGCAATTTAATCACCCATACTCTCTTATTCCAAAAATCTGCTCCTTGTCAATAAAATTTATCTTCAAACTGCTGTAGTTACTGGCAACCATAGTATTTTTTTCCCATTTCCACATATTCATGCTCATCAAAGGCTTATAAAAAGAGGAACCTGCCCTCTTTAGAAAACACTTTCCATTTCCCATCTACAGTACATCTTCTGTCTTGACTCCTGTCTTAGCCCATACAGTAGGAACCACAGTCTAAGGATATTGGTTGCATGTATCCCACCAGTGTCTCACACCAAGAATCACTCTTTCTCAAAGAAACTGGGAAAATGGCCATTGGTTTCTGGTTCATTAAGTTAAAGGCTCTATTCTATTATAAAG